TTCTAACAGCCATGGGTGTGCCAAAGGTCCATTCTTGCAAAAATAGGATTTTAGGATAGGACCCAAGGGCATGACCCCACCTTGGAAAAGGAGAGCCCACTGGCTTTTTCCGAGCTCTGCCTCCACGAGCATCCTCTCTCTGCCTCCTCCCAGACCCACACATTTGGAGGATCTTTCAGACCCTTTGTGGTTGGAGCGCTCGACGCCTCTAATTTTAATCAAAGATGAAGTTTGCATTTTTGTTCCTTGTTGCTTTGGGATGATTTCTGAGAGGAGAAAGGCTAAATACTCCTTTTATCACACCATTTTAAAACATTAAACCTCTTCCTATTGCTTCTGATTATATAATTGAAGATGTATTTCATGGGAAACAAAACCCCCAAAATACAGCCTTCAAAAGTCTTGAGTTCACTAATTGGCTGGGAAATGGAAATGTTAATGACAAGCCGGTGTGATACGAGGAACGGCTGCACAGGATTTCCAGAGCTTGTGAGTGAACGATTCCTTTTCTTCCCCAAGTCCTCCTGCCTGCCATCCACAGTCACTTTTTAAAAAAATTATTTATTTATTTTTAATATATATATACATATATTTTTTTTAATTTTTTAAAATAGATTTTGTTCCTTACTTTTCTGGCCTTTAGCTGCATTGATGTTTCTCTTTTAAATTCCCTCTTTGCTTCCAATTATTTCCATTCTTTTAAAGAACACCCTTAACATTTTAACCTATTTAATTTTGTATTTTTGTAACAAAGCCTAAACATATTCAACAACACTGTCTTTTTTCATCGTAGCGCTTAAAGCTCCCATAGCACATATACGTAGGGAGGCCAGAGTTTGCATGTGGATATTGGTTACGGAGGTTGTCCTGGAGTAACAGTACCCCTTGCATTCTCAAAGGTATTCTGATTTGAAGACTAAATTATTGGTCACCCTACTTAAAATATCATAGCACCCGACATTATTTTACATATTTTTTTTTTGTCTTCCCCACTAGAATGTGCGTCAGGAGGACAAGACATTTTTCTGTTTGTCCGTTACTTCCAAAGGTTACAACAGTTTCTAGCACATACTATCCACTCTCTAAACATTTTCTGAATTAAATGAATGGGCATGCTTGAATTATTTTCTGAATTTCTTCCATCTTATTATCTAAAATTTTAGTCTGCCTTGTAAACACAAACATGTTAGAGTTGTTATCGTTTACACACTACAGTTGATTTCTATCACCGATTTCTGAGCCTTCTATGACTTCTTATAGCCCAACTTCTGCTTTGTCATGTTTTTTCCTGCCTGAAGTATGCCCTTTAGAAAATCTTTCACTGAGGCTTTTGGGTCATAAACTTTTTTTGTTTTAATATCGGAAGATATATGTCTCCCTTTCTATGTGAATGATACTTCAGCTGGGTATAACAGTCTTGATTCATTGTAGCTCCTTCCACAATTTGAAGCCACTGCTTACTATTTGCTAACCTATGCTGTTGCTGAAGACAAACCTGCTTTCAGTGTTATCATCATTCCGTGGTACATGGGTTCTTTCTGGGGCTTTGGAATTTTGTCTTTACCTGGCTAGAGATTCACTTTGACTTTTCTAGGTGCAAATGTATTGGTATTTATTCTTCCTGGAACTTGTTATACATTTTCAAGCACAGAATTCATGGCTTTCTTCAGTTCTAGAAATTCTCAGCCATTGCTTTTTCAGGCAATTCTGTCTTCTCCACTAGTTCCTTCTTATGAGATGACTCTCAAATTGGAGTCTCTCAGTCCACTGTATTTCTTTTAACTTCTTTCACACATTTAAAAGTATTATATTTCTCTGTGACATGATCTCAGCGAATTTCTTAACAATATCTTCCAAATCACTATAGGTCTCTTAATTTGTGTCCATCTAGGACTATGTGCTTATGCAATTATTTTCTGCTTCAATGATTATATACTTTAAATTCTTTGCAGGTGTTACATATTATTATTAAATCACTTAAATTTTGCCCTATTGTTTGCATTTTTAAAGGTGAGTTCATTTACATTTATTGAGTTGACTTGTTTTTTCTTGACAATTTTTCCTTATGTCCTCTGGTAATTGTGTTTTGTATACTTATCTTGAGAGTGTGGACATGCTCTTTCTCCCCTTCTCTCTCTCTCTCATCATTTTCTGTTGCTTCCACCCATTCCCAGTCCAGAACCAGACTTTTTTGGTGTCACTGGCTCCAAGTGTCAGTGATATTGGAGATATTGCTAGGTGTAGACATGGCCCCAGTTTGCTCTGCTTTCTCCTGCCACCACATGCTGCTTGTTTGCATATCCTATAGCAGTCAGTGAAGCTACTTTAACTCTCACTGGTAGGTAAGCCCCACTCCAGTCTCACATCTCTGGTAATGAACTTGGTTTGGTTTCCCTCCACAAATGGGGCTTGACTGGTTCCCATTATCTTGTAGAGAGATTCCTCTCCCCCTCCTTCCTCTCCTTCACTCCCTTCTCTCTTCCCTTACCGATTGGTGTACAGGATGATACTCCTACCAACTGAGCCACACTGGCCAGGGCAGTTATACTTCTTGCCATAACTTTTTGGAGAATGCGGTAAGGGTTATACTATACATTGTTAGAGTATACATCCTTAATTTCTCACAGTTTGTTTGGAGTTAAACATGGTACCACTTCATGAAAATGTGGAAATTTTGCAATTTATTTCCCCACCCTGTGCCATCTTTATAATTGTCTTATGCATTACTTTTGTATGTTATAAATTCTTCAAGATGATGTGATGTGTGTGTACACATACACACACAAACATATATATATGTGCTTTAAACTCTCAGTGTTTAAAAAAAATCAAGAGAGCTAGCCTTTTATATTTTCCTAGATATTTACCATTTCCAGTGCCCGTTATTTCTTCCTGAAGGTCTGTCTTCCTTTGACATCATTTGCCTTGAACATGAAGAACTTTCTTTAACATTCTTGTAGTACAGGTCTGCTGGTTATGATTACTGTCTTCTTATATATGCAGGTGCCTTTATTCCAACTATATTCTTGAAGTACATCTTCACAGGACAGAATTCTGGTGGACAGGGTCTCTCCCCTGCTAGGACTTTAAGGATAGTGTCCTGCTGTCTTCTGGCCAAGACAACGGCTGGTTTGGGGATTTTAGCTGTTGGGATTTTAGCAGCACCATTAGTGAAGGCTGCCCTCAGGCCTGACCATGCTTGTCTTGCTTGACTCCCACTTATCCTAGAATCTGCCTATTTTGTACACTCTCCAGAACCTCCAAGTAGTTGCTTTTTTATTGTTCAGAGTTTATAGTTACTATTTGTGGGAAGGATGGTCTCTTAGAAGCTCACTCAGCCATTCCCGGGGTGAAACGTCAGGACTCCTGTTTTAAAACCCTTTTCAACACTGTTTCCCTAAAGCAGAATTTTACACAGAATATTGAATAAGTCAGGTCATTACTCATATTTTATAATACTTATTATTTACAATAATAGTATGTCTGAAGGGCAATAAGAAGGTGTCAGTGGAGTTTCTTCCTGAAGTGCTGTTTACTTTGACTTCCGCAATATTAGTTCTCGGCGATTCCCAGCTTTTAATTTCCTGGCTAATCTTCCTGAGGTTCCTTTGTGACCTCTTTACTTCTGTGTCTCTTTTAAGCATTGGTTTCAACCCAACCTCAGTTAGTGTTTTGGTTTTATTTCTTTAAACGGATCCCCACTTTCCTAGGCAATTTCAACAACCTACCTGATTTCAGCTACCACCTGAATGCAGGTGGCTCTTACATCAGAATTTCCAGAACTGACCCTTTTTCATGAATTCCTAATCAATAGCCTCCATCTTCTAGAAAGATCCAACTGGGTGTTTGGCACACATTGTGGGTTCTTCATTCCCTTTAAATCCTGAACTTTCCCCCCCTTCCCTTCCTCTCGCTAAATTAATAAATCTTTATTGAGTGTTCCATACTGCTTCTGATGTTATACATTCAATACTGGGAGCAAAAGCAAAAGCGCCCTTCTGGATTTAAATTTGAGTTGGTAACAGACTACATACTAATAACCATATAACTATGTAATATCAGATACCGACGGTCAGTGCTATGAAGAAAATGAAGCTTTTGATTAAGGGGGTAAAGACCTGGGGATTGCTTTTCTTGGGAGGCTTATCAGAGAAGGTTTCTCGAAATACTGATATTTATAAAGAAATGTGACTGAAGCTTTTCCACTTAGAAATGTGTCATCATTCCCTTCCCACCTGGAAGAAAACTATTTGAAAAACGTTTAAGGCTGCATTTCAAACACGCTCTCCCTCGAGATTTAGCTTTTTATACTTTCTGAATTGGAGGTTACAATGAATTGTAATTATTGCTTTATATCCCCAACTTGACCTTATGCTCTTTGATAACAGTTCTTTTTCTGTTTATATGTGTAGTTATTAGCACTATGCCTTGGCATAAAGTAGATGGTAAGCCAATGTACAGGTGATGAAAAAAGTATTATTATTTATATTATATTGAAAAATTAGAATAGAGTTAAATGCAAAGCTTATTTATATGTAAAAAAAGAAATCTCTCATGCGTCTCCATTCGCATCATGCTTAGCTTTCAGCACACACTGTGGATATGGATCCATCTCTCTGCACCATGATTTTTCCTTTGTCTTATCTTTCAACAGCCCTTCGCCACTTAATCTGTATCAAACAAATTTCTGCATCTAATTTCTAAAAGGCTCCTCAAACCTTAATATGTTGTTCGTAAGTGGAAAATACTTTTTTCTTCAAATTACATTAGGAAAACTTCAACCTTTTTCAAAGTATGTTTTGATGTAGCACAATAATTACTTTATCTCCAAAGACAAGCATTCATCAAATACTTAACTACTAACAACTGTTAAACCTGAAATAAGAACTTTAAAAATCTTCACACAGAGACTGTCTAACTTATTTTCTTCCAAGTTTTAAATGCGATGGCTTTCATTTTGCAAATGTTCTTAGGCAACATGCACACAATAGACACAGAACTCTTTTATTACTCATTTTTATTTTCATATAAATTAACATCCTAAAAAATTGAAATAGAAACACTAAATACAGTATTGCACATAGCGATCTGTGTTAAATGCCCTATGTTTTCTTTGAAGAATATTAATATACACACTGGAAGGAGTAAAGGAGACAGGAAGACTACAAAACTACAACCAAAGAAACCACTACCGTTTCTCTGCACTTAAACAACAAACTAAGAGGTAAGAGACCGTACTTTACATAAATACAAACTTAGTTATGAGTCAGAACATTCTCTTTTTAAGTTGCTTTCCATAATTGGCTTGCAATAGCAATAAATTCTCTCCTTTATCTACAACCATAACCCCCAGCAAATATCATTAAAATAATTTTTACAAACCGCACTTAATGATGTTAGACAAAACCATTACGATGCATCAGAAGCTGACAGTGAGTGCTCTGAGAAGAGTAGGAGATTTGTTTTTTTCCTTTCAATATAAAAGAAAATCCTTTCCTAGGTTCCATCAGATCATGAATCATTGCATACTCCAGCTTTTAAGCACCCGCCACAGCGCATGGAGACAGCCCCAATTATGTCACAATGCTCCGGCAGGTATGTTTCATTAACAGGTTCTCGGCAGATGCCAATCCAACAGCTGGTCATGTTTGGTAATTTTATGAGCATCATTTATTTAAATTCCTTCAAAATGTTGAGTCATATTTCCTTTGTGAAAGGCAATGGCACAGTTATAGAGAGGCACACCTTCAGCTTTGTTTCCTCCTGCTACAGATTAGCTTTATGTTGGGTCTCCAAGGCCAGTCTGATAAAAGCCCTCAATAAATAAAACTCTGGTTCCTGCTTCTATTAAATGATTTATAAGGAAGGGGTTGCCTTCTGTTATATTTTTTCATTTTCTGACAAGTAAAAATATGATAATCTTCTTTCACAAATATATATTTATGGAGGGCAACTCAAAGAGTTGGGAAAGCCTTAATTATGATATATAAATGGTACATAAATTTTACAACAGAAAATGTTTTCGTGGATGGGAAACTGATACAGTTCACCAGAAATGACATTTGAGCCATCCATCTAAACGCGGTAATGTGGAGTGCTGGTTGTCAGTAGAAAGGGGTTTTGCTGTACAAGGAATATTCTCCCGAAAGTAAATTTTAGGTTAACGCCTAGCATGTTCAGAATTAATGCAGACACTGCCTCCTACACTTGCCGTTTCGGTTTGTCGGTGCAACGCCACAGACTTTTACAGAAGGAACAGGTGCCAAATTCTCCACTGGTTACTGCTTTTGCATTTCAAACTCAACAACCAGTGAACTGTCTAGAAAACACAGGGGCTACGCAAGGGGTCAAGAAGGAAAATGCTGACAACGACATGATGTGGCTTCCTTCCCTCCTTCAGGTCGGCTGAATGTTGTGTCAGTGGCTAGAGAGTGACTCATTTTCATTCCGCTTTTCTTTGTTCAGGTTTTCATGCTTATCTTTGCTTTCTGAAAATAAATGCACCAGATAAGAGTTATAGTTAGAAACAAGAAGTTTAAAAAAATGGACCGGAGTGTAGAGTAGCCCAAACAAGACCTTTTCATCTGGATCAAATTCTCTGGGAAAGGTTAGAGATCAACCAGCCCGTAGAGGAAAAAAGATGTAAGTAGAATAAATGTCACCTTTTAGAATTTTCACCCAGACAAACCACTGAATTTTTTTGAGGGGGGGGGAAGTTTTTAAAATTTAGTTTCTAATTGATGTGAAAGAGTGCCAACTCAAATGTTCAGTCGCAGCTTTCTGTTCGCATATATGAATGTGAAAATGGAGCTATTTCATTAGCTAACTGTAACAGCACGACTGAGGTGAACTACTAACTATTATTCAATGTACTTTAAATTTGTACTTTAATAAAAAATACAGTAAAGTAAACCATAACGTAACACTTGTCATTAGTTAAGAATAATTTTGATACAGAGAAACTGAAAGGGCAATTGTTTTTATTTTTTTTTCATTGGGTTATTTATTTAGGTAGCTAGCTAGTTGGTTATTGTGCTTAGCTAATAGTTCAAGGCACTCATCCTGTCTCTTTTAAATTTTATTTTTCAATTATAGTTGGCATTCAGTATTATTTTACNACTTGTCATTAGTTAAGAATAATTTTGATACAGAGAAACTGAAAGGGCAACTGCTTTTATTTTTTTTTTCATTGGGTTATTTATTTAGGTAGCTAGCTAGCTGGTTATTGTGCTTAGCTAATAGTTCAAGGCACTCATCCTGTCTCTTAAATTTTATTTTTCAATTACAGTTGGCATTCAGTATTATTTTATATTAGTTTCAGGTGTACAGCATAGTGTTTAGACAATCATATAATATTCCTCTGTTATTTCAGTAGCCACCTGGCGCTGTACATAGTTATATCAATATTATTGACTATATTCCTTATGCTGTGCTTTACATCCCCGTGACAATTCTGTAACTGCCAATTTGTACTTCTTAATCCCCCCACCTTTTCCACCCAGCCCCCCAACCCTCTTCCTGTCTAGCAACCTTCAGTTTGCTAAGTCTGTCTCCGTCTTGCTTGATCATTTATGTTGTCACAAATGGTAAGATTCATTCTTTTTTATGGCCAAGTAATATTCCATTGTATATGTGTATCACAGATTTTTTTTATTTACTTGCCTATTGATGGGCACTTGGGTTGCTTCCATAGCTTGGCTATTATAACTAATGTTTTAATGAACACCNCAATTTGTACTTCTTAATCCCCCCACCTTTTCCACCCAGCCCCCCAACCCTCTTCCTGTCTAGCAACCTTCAGTTTGCTAAGTCTGTCTCCGTCTTGCTTGATCATTTATGTTGTCACAAATGGTAAGATTCATTCTTTTTAATGGCCAAGTAATATTCCATTGTATATGTGTATCACAGATTTTTTTTATTTACTTGACTATTGATGGGCACTTGGGGTGCTTCCATAGCTTGGTTATTGTAACTAATGTTTTAATGAACACGGGGGGGGGGTTGTTTCTATTCAAATTAGTGTTTTGGCTTTCTTTGGATATATACCCAGAACTGGAATTGCTGGGCCATAAAACAGTTCTACTTTTCTTTTTTAATTTTTGAGGAACTTCTATACTGCTTTCCATAGTGGCTGCACCAATCTGCAAGCCCACCAACAGGGTTCCCTCTTCCCCACACCCTCGCCAGTACTTGTTTGTGGACTTATTGATGAGAGCCATTCTGACAGGTATCAGGTGATAGCTCACNTCTATACTGCTTTCCATAGTGGCTGCACCAATCTGCAAGCCCACCAACAGTGCGCCAGGGTTCCCTCTTCCCCACATCCTCGCCAATACTTGTTTGTGAATTTATTGATGAGAGCCATTCTGACAGGTATCAGGTGATAGCTCATTGTGGTTTTAATTTACATTTCTCTGATGATTAGTGAGGTGGAGCATCTTTTCGTATGTCTACTGGCCATCTGTATGTCCTCTTTGGAGAAATGTCTATTCAGGTCCTCTGTCCATTTTTAATTGGATTGTTTGTTTTGTTGGTGCTGAGTTATATGAGTTTTAATTAATTTTGGATATTAATCACTTATCAGATGTATCAATGGTGGATAACCTCTCCCAATCAGTAGCTTTGCTTTTTCCTTTTGTTGATGGTTTCCTTTGCTCTGCAAAAACTTTTTAGTTTGATGTAGTCCCAGTTGTTTATTTTTTCTTTTGTTCCCCTTGCCCAAGGAGATATATCAGAAAATATATTGATAAGAGAAACATCACAGATTTCATTGCCTATTTTTTTCCTAGGATTTTTATGGTTTCAAGCCTTACATTTAAGTCTTTAATCCATTTTGAGTTGTATTCTTGTATATGGTGTAAGAAGGTGATCTATTTTCAATTTTTTTGCATGTATCTGTCCAATTTTCCCACTATATATTGAAGAGACTGTCTTTACCCCATTGTATATTCTTGCCTCTTTTATCACAGATTCATTGACCATATAGGTATGGGTTTAATTCTGGGCTCTCTATTGTGTTCCATTCATTTATGTGTCTGTTTTTATGCCAGTACCAGGTTGTTTTGCTTATTACAGCCCTGTAATATAGTTTGATACTGGATAGCATGATACCTCCAAGTTTGTTCTTCTTTCTCAGGATTGCTGTAGCTATTCAAGGTCTTCTGTAGTTCCATATACATTTTAAAATTATTTGTTCTAGTTCTGTGAAAAAATGCCATTGGTATTTTGATAAGAATTACATTGAATTTATAAATTGCTTTGGGTAGTATGGACATTGTAACAATGTTAATTTTTCTTATCCATGAACACAATATATGTTTCCATTTATTTGTATCTTCCTCATTTTCTTTCTTCAATATCTTATAATTTTCTGAGTATAGGTCTTTTGTCTCCTTGGTTAAATTTATTTCTAGGTCTGGTGGGTTTTTTTGATGCAATTGTAAGTTGTAATTATAATTACAATTGTAATTGTTTTCTTAATTTCCCTTTCTGATAGCTCATTAAAAAATGCAACCGGCTCCTGAATATTAATATTATATCCTGCGATATTACTGAACTCATTTTTCAGTTCTAGTAGTTTTTTTTTTTTTGGTGGAATCTTTAAGGCTTATTATACATAGAATTGTGTCATCTGCAAATAATGACAGTTTTACTTCCTCCTTTCCAGTGTGGATGTCTTTTATTTCTTTTTCTTGTCTGATTGCTGTGGCTAGGACTTCCAGTACTATACTGAATAAAAGTGGTGAAAGTGGACAACCCCTGTCTTGGTCTTGATCTTAAGGAAAATGCTTTCAGTTTTTCCCCATTGAGTATGATGTTAGCTGAGGGTCTGCAATATATGGCTTTTATAACATTGAGGTATGTTCCCTCTACCTCCACTTTGTTGAGAGTTATCATAAATGAATACTGAATTTTGTCAAATGCTTTTTCTGCATCTATTGATATGATATGAATTTTTTCCTTTATTAGTTTATGTGGTGTATCACATTAATTGATTTCTGGATATTATACCAAACTTGCATCCCAGGAATAAATCCCACTCGATCACGGTGTATGACCTTTTTAATGTATTGCTAGATCTGGTTTGCTACTATTTGTTGAGGATTTTTACATCTATGTTCATCAGGGATATTGGCCTATAATTTTCTTTCATTGTAGTATCTTTATCTGGTTTTGGAATTAGGATAATGCTTGTAAAAATGAGCTTAGAAGCCTTTCCTCCTCTTGAAATTTTTGGAATAGTTTGAGAAGGAGAGGTGTTAATTCTTCTTTGAAAATTCACCTGTGAAGCCATCTGGTCCAGACTTTTGAAGGGAAAACAGCTTTTCACTGGAGTCATAATTCATAACTTTTTCTAAAGAGGGATATTTAATCATATAAAAATTTGGGTTGTTTTAATATCTTTTCCATTTAGACCATGTTAGACTAATCCAATTCAAAATTTTCTTATTTTAAAGCCGAACCCAACTTTTCATTTAAAAGAGCATCATTTACTTAGTCTGTGGCACCAAGTGACAATCCCTCAGAACAATCAGCAAAACATTGACTATCACAAGGCAAAACTCATCATTTTCATTAAGCCCTTTTTTCCCAGGGTGTAAAACTTGGCATTTTATTTTTAAGGAAGACGTGGGCATGGAGGAAACATAGAATGGCTTGTTAAACTCAGTTTACTGACTGACAGCTGCTAAGCAGCCAACTGCGTAGAGCCATTTATGGGTACAGACCAGGTGTAAGCCCTCTGGTCTTAGCAAAGGCCAGCTCTGCACTTGGCATTTCCCATTACGTTTCAGAGCCCAATGGCACTAATGCAATTATAACAGCCACTCTGGGTTCAAGTGCAGCCCTGTGCTGAGACCCTGTGTAATGAAAAAAGTGAAAGATTACCCCCAACTCCCGCCTACACACCCAAATCCACATATAAGCCCTCACTTAGTGGATTTATCTTAATTCTTAAGCTTAGAACGCTGAATACTGGGATTCTTTTTGGCCTTTGGGGCCTAATTAAAGCCATCAGGAAGAGGGAATTCTTTAAGTTAAAAGCTCATTATTTATTCAGACTAAAGAGGAAAATAATTAAAATGCTATATGTTTGTATATATTGTCAAAAGAATGTTTAAAAGCCAAAGAAAACCGCAGGTTAAAGAATAGAAAAGTTAGATACTCACAATTCCAGAGTCATGCCTTGGTTTTATTTTATAAAGTGATTTCCCCTTTTTCTGCCTACATACTTCTTCGGCTTCTTTTACTCTGGGGGGGAGAAGACACATGAATTTGAACAAAGATCCTCACAGATCACAGCTATCCACCTTATAGTCGGTGAGCGAGCATCGACTCACTAGGGGTTTGATTTATCGAAAAAAATAATACGCAGAAATGTTATCTGACATTTGATTTGAAAACATAGAATGTCAGAGCTAGAGGCAAATTCTTCCAGGGGTTTAACTTGGAGTAAAGGGTGTAGAATGGATAGTATACAAACATGAATGTTCTTATGGATACATTTCGGCCTATATTTAAAAAGTTATATATAAAGAAAGTATACAAAAATTATACATGAGAAAGTAAAGACAAATTCCTCATTTTTCAGGTGAGCCTTTTCTGATTGGCTCTATTGCATAAATAAGATAGGCGCTATAAAATAAATCAGAAGCATTACAATAATTGAACTAACAGCATCATGTAAAACACTGAAATGCTTATTTAAAATGATTTCAGACTCACTTTCCACATCACGCTTACTCATGCTTGAAAGTCATTTGCGATGACTACTTGGGTAGTTTTTAAAAAATTGAACTTCATCAAGCATGGGAACCAATCATTTAATTGAAAACAGAAAATAGAGAGTAAGCAATAACAACATTTTAATACTACTAAGATTTCCTTTTAAACACACACTCCAAGGACAACAGTAACGAATCTGCCAGTGGTAGAGTTAAAAAGAAGATGTTATTTGGGGNTCCTTTTAAACACACACTCCAAGGACAACAGTAACGAATCTGCCAGTGGTAGAGTTAAAATGAGATGTTATTTGGGAATTAAGTTCTGCTTTAGGTTCTGGCTTTGCTAGGTGACACTGGGTAACATCCTGATACCACAGGCCCTTATATTCCCTCAAATAGCGAAAGGGATCAATACTATATAATAGGATTACTATTATTACTACACAGAGTTGTGGCAAAGATACAAAATTACTTAAAACTTCTTTCTAAAGTTTAAAATACCATAGAGAGTTACGCATGATTACTACAAACCCATCGTATGAAATCTACAAACTGAAATTCTACTAATAAAAAGAAATATAGGAAGGAAATTAACCTACCAGGTTAATTCTGTTTTGTTGTTATGATTTACCTTGGGAATTAAAAATGGAGTATTTCTGAAGAAGGTCAAAAGGCCATGGCATCCTAATAAAAGACTTTGTACGCAGATCCTGAAGCCTATTTCCCCAAAGAAATAAGTTATAAATATACTTCTTGAGCCCTGTGGCAAAAGAGCTAATGAGAGAATTCATTTCCTACACAGCTGGGCGAACCCCTGTTTTTAAACAACAGAAAGGAACAAATAATCCAGGACAGGAGCTATGAGGCTGATGCCCCAGTTTACCCTGGAGTGTGACAAATGACAGCAACTCCTTTAGGACAGAGTGCCCGCGGGATTGACGCTGCTAAAAATTCCAGAAAACGGTGACAATTTAGAAGACACTCCATTGTTAACACTTTTATTACTTTCTACCCAGGCCATAAATTGCCTTTAATCCTTCCTCCAAACATTTGAAGGCAAAAATATTTTCTTTATAACAAACCGAGGATTGCAGAGTCTCCATCTTCTAAAACAACTCCCAGTAAATTTAAGTTGAAGTATTTGGACAAGGAATTAAGGAAGTTTTTTTTTCTTAGCACTTAGCCCAAATCCAGTATATTTCTTCTTGAATTTACTCGGAGCACTTTAAATGAAGCATTTGGGGACATTTATAAAAACGTACTTTGCAAGTGTTTAGATCGCTGAAGCATCTTCATTCTCTCACTGTCTTATTTATCTTTTTCTTAAAACACATCTTGGTAAGGATCACAGGAAGCCGAGTCTCCTACACACATAGCTGATTTCACACAAAAACAAATGCAGCCATTCCTTATGGCAGAAATGACGAAAATGACAAGGAATGTGCGTCAGCGAACCCGCACAAGATCCTTGAGCTCATCCGTTTATTTGACAGTCGTTTATGGAGGAGCAACTCCAGGTCAGGCGCTGGGATGGGCTCGGTTTTATAAGGACAATTAAATTCAACATCTAACAGGAGAGAGACACGTAAGCAAGTAGAGGGCAGGGGTGCCCGAAGCACAGCCACCTCGGGGTGCAGGGGTCCAGCCGGGCCCTCCAGGGGGTTCCTGGCGTTGCCAGTGGGGATTATGGCACATGGACAGCCAAGCCTTGTTTCAAAGGTAAATTTTAATTTTGCATACTTTCCTTGGAAGGGGGAATAGTCCTGAGGGTGGAAGAAGAGTCCTGTGCACAGAATAATAAATGCAAAAGCCAGAACTTAAAGATATAGACACGTCTCCTTTGGCTGCCTCAGGGTCCCCACACTACGAAGAGAGAAACATCTATGCGAGAGAGACACAAAGGCTGGTTGTATCCTGCACGCAGGGATCGAACCTGCAACCCAGGCATCTGCCCTTGACTGGAAATCAAACCCGGGCCCTTCAGTGCACAGGTGGACGCTTGAACCACTGAGCCGCACCAGCCAGGGCGGCCTCCTTGTTTAGGATGCAGCTTCTTACGCGTCTGACGGCGGAGTCGGCCACTGCCTTCTGAGCACCTCTAGTTATGCGCGGGGTTTTGGGGAGCTGGCAACCTGAGTATGAGAATCTTGAGCAGTTACTTTTCCAATTTAGCAGAAGGATTGTTGAGAATTGACTAAAATGCAGGTCTCCAGGCCTGCTCTTCTATATTCTGGTTAGTCCCTCGGAAATGTCTTTATAAGCAGCACCCAGAAGGGTGTGATGTAGGTGGCCCCTGAGACTCGGTATTCCTTCCCAGACTGGTGGCCACACTGAAGCTCAAGATAGCCACACTTCCTCGCCCCTCTCTACTTTACAGTAAGACCGTAAATACGGGGGTCACCACCCCAAACCCTGAAAAATCACTCACGTCAGCACCTTGTGAGTCTCACCCCCCAAACGAATACTGCTGCTGCTTCCAAACACCAATTTTATTTCAACAAAACTACCCAACAAGACATTTTTTCCATACTTGAGGCAGGAAAAAGAATGGGCCCTGGAGGGGAGATACAGGGCCAGGGCTGGCGCGAAGAAGGAAAGCAATGAGAGAGGCCGGGAGGGGGGCCCAAGCCAGCTGCCCATCCAGGCATCTCCTCCTTGGGCTCCCCATCGGGGCAACCGGAAGCATCAGCCCCGGGTTCAGGCCTGTTGAGTAACCACTTGTCCATGTTCCAGGCTCCTTCCTTCCCGCCTCGCCCCTCACTCACAAGGCCTGACACTTCTTAAACTGAGCAGGAAAAAGACGTTCATCTCACAACTAGACGACAAAGGCTTTAAGTGAAAAGGAATGGTGGCGATGACATTTCACACAATAAAGAGAAATGACCACTGTGTTCTGTTTAGAGGGATACTACTTCAGTTATAAAGAAATACAATACTTTGTTTATGGTGAAGAATTATGAAAACATGGTTGGTTTGGAGGAGACAGTCCTCGGCTTCCAAATTTTGCCTGTCCTTGAGTCTTAACTCCACTTTGGGAGAGGTCTCTGGGTGGTGTGTGGAGAGAGACGTAGCTCTCATGCATGATTCATGAAAAGACATTCTTTTTTTAAAAAAAATGTATCTTTACTGATTTCAGAGAGAGGAAGGGAGGGGGAGAGAGAGAGAGAAACATCAATGATGAGAGTCATTGATCGGCTGCCTCCTGCACGCCCCCTGCTGGGGATCAAGCCCACAACCCGGGCCTGTGCCCTGATCGGGAATCAAACTGCAATCTCCTAGATCCTAGGTCGATGCTCAACCGCTGAGCCACGCCCGGCAGGGACGATACATTCTTTTTAATATTGCTGCAGTCACACAAAGGGGACTGCCAGGGCATTTGTTAATCAAGGTTTCACCCTATTACNGCCCACAACCCGGGCCTGTGCCCTGATCGGGAATCAAACTGCAATCTCCTGGATCCTAGGTGGTGTTCAACCACTGAGCCAAGGCCAGCCAGGACGATACATTCTTTTTAATATTGCTGTAGTCACACAAAGGGGACTGCCAGGCCATTTGTTAATCAAGGTTTCACCCTATTATAGAATTGAAAAGGGGAGCAAGAACTTTTGGGTGACGTCTTTGATAGACTTATTCTAGCAATTGCAACGGCCAGTCAGCAATCTAGATAACGAAAGGAAAAGATGAACAAAACCAAATCACATGACAACGGAAACTCTCCACTAGGCACTTTGCAAGATTTTGGAAAAACAACGGCACAGAAAGCAGACATCAAAAGACTGGAAGTGCAGCATTATTGTTTAGACAGAAGGATACTAACTGGTATAGAATGGCTATAAATTCGACATTTACATTAATATTTTGCTGTAATATCTTTTATCGTCTATGAAACTTCAGAAACAAAACTATGATGCATAAATTTCAAAAATATGTACCTATCTCTTAAACGGAGAACCAAAAGTAGTCAAAGAATACAAGGCGTTATCTTTTAAGGGCTACATTAACTATGGGAAATAATTATGGACTCAGTTTGGCAAACAGAGTAGGTGGCCAATTTGAGCAAATTTAAGCGTAGATGGTATACATTATGTTAGTGACATCAGTGTTCAGTTAAACTTTTCTTTCTTAAGTGAATGGAATGATTCACCTTACACTTGATGGCCAGCGCTCATCACTGCACAGGTCACGACTGTAACGGGCTCAGACAGGCCACCCGAAGGCCTCCTGGGATATATACACAGCGGCCTGACCACACGTTGACCCAACACTTGCAACTCTGCTGCACTTCCCTTTACCCTGTGTCTTCTTTTTAAGTTTTCTATTTGTTCCTAGGATGGCAGGCTGTGAGCACTTGTAGCCAGTGCATGCCGGTCTCTACCTTCTTTTAATAATTCCTATCGTCTTTAGAGGGGAAACCAGAAAACTAAGCTAATTTAAATGAGCCCCAGTTACAGCAACACCTCTGAGCTCAGTCCTAACTAAACGAATAGAGTCCTGGACTTGGGGACAGTAAGTAATTTCCGCTGCCAC